AAAAAAATTGAATTCATTTAAAAACTAACAACTCAAAACAATCTGGAACATAACAAAATGGCAGTTCAGACCTTTCCCTTGAATGTCATCTGTATTCTCCTGCCATAAAAATTTACAGCAGAGTTTGAACTTACAATGTATTTGGGTTTTATCTCTAGAATGGGAATTCTCATAAGAAAAATGATTGACTTCTCATTGTTACTGCAAAGTGTATTTTATTAGAGGAATCATTCCCAATTATGAACCATAGTTTCTTTTGTTCTGCTCATTTAATTTTAAGCACACTCAAAGTTCATCACACCATTAGCATTGTTTCAATGATCCAATGACTCTTGATCTTGGTTAAGTCTCGCTCATTTTCTAATCTACATGTAAGGCCTGCAAACACTTCCACTTTGTCTTAAGAAGGTTTTTACTCATGTAAGTACTTGTATGTGGTTTGGATAAAGTACAGCGCATGTGCACAGGTCACAAATACATTGTAGGAAATGAGTAAGCTTGCTTTGATAAAAAACAAAATTTATGCCTGCTGAAAGTTTAAAATATACTGGTAATTATGTTTGAATGCATACCTTCTGCCCCATTGTTGTTTTTTTAACAAAAAAAACAATTTCAATGGATATTCTACACACTTTTTGTTGGTCTGAACAAAATTGTGCACAATGTTCGTTCCAGTTTATCAGATGATACCAAAGTTTTAAAAGATGCAGATTATGTAGCGCAGTTAGACTATTTCAGGACCCCTCATTTATGATAAAGTAGGGCATTTGATATTCCTTTAACCTTTTAACTCCCAGAAGTGTTCAACATGTAACTTCTCCCCTCAATTTCCATATATTTTCCAGCAAACAGGTAACGAGAAGACTAACACATCAGATACAACTTATCTTGATCTGACGAGGAAATATGTCACAGCTAGAGAGGAAAATTGACAGTCAGAACTTGGGAGTCAAAGGGTTAAACCCTGCTCTTAATGATCTTAATCACCATGCATCCTTTTCTACAAAACATTCCCTTCAGGAAAAAGTTTTTCTTTAGTGGTTAGGTTTATAGGAGATTGATGGGGACAGCATTTTAGGCTTTCTTTCTTTTGCGTGTAGGACATTATATTCAATACTAACACTACTTAAAGCACCCAGTTACAAAGGAGAGAGTATGAAGGATAATAGAGTAAAAAATGAGTTAGAGCTTAGAATTGTCATGGTAGGTTAGTGTCATTGTTGCATCCTTGTAGTAATCTACCACTTTGTTGAGTGCTTGAAAAGCGAGGGCAGATGGAAAGGTAGTCACATCACAGTGTACTAGTTACTCGTGCAGGTTCAAAGTGAAAAGTGGAAGGCGGGCAACGAGGCAAACATTTGTTATTTGTTATCCGCAGACGCAAATCCACGATTTAAAACAAGCTCAAAATCCATCCTCGATCCAGCTTCGCTCCACCCTACTTGATCCCGCGGTTAATTTGTTGTTTCAACGAATGAAAACGGACTTGGACTCTGAAAAAGAGAAACTGGAACAAGCTCAGAACGACCTGAATGCGTGGAAGTTTACCCCTGACAGGTGATGGGAAATTCCTTTGCTTAACTTTTGAATGTAGCCTCTGTAAAGATCCGACTATTTCAGCGGTGGTTGAAAAGTATTGGCGACCAACCTTGCTGTCATAGAGACGGTCATTTAATCCAAAAGCTGTGGAGCCGTACAATGTTTTTAACTTTCTGGAGAACAAGTACCTTTTCGGCAAGACCTTGTTGTGGTCTTAAAATTTCGTTGGCGTCTGCGACCATACAACAGTGCTCATTTAAAAACTTAGTACAAGTTCTTCGCAAATCCATCTGTGCCGTGCTCGTTGTGATCGTGGAAAACTTTGAAAGTTATCGCATTGCACACTACCATTTTCATACAGTGAATAGTTTAGAATCGGCGTGTAGATAAGAGAAACCCACGTAACGTTATTGAAAATGTTTTGTGACACCAACAAAGTAAGACCGAGATGGAGAGGTCGTTTGAGCATTAAATGTAACAAATATATCAAATTGTAGGTAATTAAGAACAATTAGACTGTAAAAGGTCATGGAAATTCCGGAATTTTAAAACCCCGATAGAGTGCGAACCCTGCGTGCAAGTTCCTGAGCGAACATTGAACTTCGCGAACATCCATTGTTTGAAAACCACACCCAAGAACTGTTTTGGCATGAGGTTTTCGGCAGTTATGTCTCTCCACATCTGTCTGTGTTGGTATCATTATGCTCTCATATTGAAAATAATACCTGTTCTTCCGACTGCTTTGAAGGCAGCGCGGTGTACAAATTATTTTAATTTCACATTTTCGGCTGTCATATTTCTGATACTTTGAACTGTTTTT